TTGTCTCACTGAATTTTATTTGGGAAGGGTTTAACAATGCCACGTATTTAGATATTGTTTCCTTGTAATTGATGGTTGGTGGTAATGAAATCTTAACTTTCCTTTTAAAAAAAAGATATATATTTATAGTTATACACTCAACTACGTACTGCAGTCATGTCAATAAATTAACGTCTCCAAAAGAAAAATTAATTAAAAGGACAAAATAGTAACAAATTGCATGGCTTTGTTTGCTGAAATGATGAATAGACGCTCAATGGTGATAAATTCTAAGGAAATTAAAGCCATTATCGCAAGGACTATCAGCTGACCTATGAACAAGAGCAACCTGATAATCCACAACTCCCTTGAATCCATGAATTAATCGTTGAATGACTAATTACTCACTTTGTAAAAGAGTTCATTGTTTAGATTAACTCTTTCGATAGCTATAATTAATTTTATGAATAATTACAAAACGAATATTATAGAACTATCGATGAATCCAGAAAAAAAAAATACCATTGCTGGAGCAGTGTTGTATGTTGTAACTTGTAAGTGTAACTTTATTGCATGGTTTGGTAATCTTGTCTAGTTGGTTATGTGAATATGTTGCGCACTCACGTATATATTCAATATATATAATCTACACGAAAAAAAAAACATTTGAGCCCAGATTTGAGTCATCAAATTGTGATGTCATGTTAATTGTGGTTCATAATACTTGTTGCATTGGATTATTGCACATTAACTGTTTAATAAAATGCTTGTGTGAACTTCTGATAATTTTGTTATATGCATTGTGAATGATAAAGTTACCTGATACAATGTGTGTTTTGTATAATTTACAAACACCATGTTGCTCAATTGGAAAGCTCTTGTTGAGTTACCAACCAACTTGGGAAGGCTAATCAACTTGCGTCGTCTTAAGTTAAACTATATAAGTTAAAACTTTCATGCTTGTAATTTGATTAACTAGATACCAAAAGTTGAGCCAAACATCCAAAGATTCAATATGGTAATATTACATATGAAAAGGAAGGTCCAAATAAATCCAGTTTTATAATACAACTAAAGATAATAACTAAATTATCTGATCAAAGAGATGCATTGGCAGGATATGAGGCACATATATAATCAGTGATGAAAGCGACGGTAACGAAATTGGTATGGCATGGTATCTTGTAGATGTGCACCGCAACATATCATGTAGTCCTGTCCCTACACTACTAAAAAAAACCCCTTGCGCGACCAAACTTTGCGCGACGAAACAAAATTCGTCGCGCAAAGTGACTTTGCGCGACAAATATAAATCATCGTCGCTCAAAGTCTTAAGCGACTTAATTTTGCGCAACGAAAAACAAATCGGCGCACAAAGTCACTTTGCGCGACAAAACTTTGCGCGACGGCAAAGAATCGTCGCGAATAATAACTTTGCGTGACGAATACTAGAATTCGGTGCACAGAGTTTTGCGCGACGAATAGTGATTCGTCTCGCAAAATATTTATAAAAATAAATAAATAAAAAATTATTTTTAAAAAATTTTGGATGCCTTTGCGCGACGAAATAATAATCTTCGTCTCGCAAAGTCTTTACTAAAATTAAATAAAAAATAAAAAAAA